TTTTTTTTTTTTTTTTTTTTTTTTATAATTATATAATTACACCTACCCTAGTTCTCGAAAAAGAAAATATACAAATATATTTATAATAAAGTACACCTTAATATGCTGGATTTATAAAATGGAATTTCATGTGCAAACATTTTAAATTTGTTTTTAAAAACCAGTTGAGTCTTTAAAAAAGCATTCTTTGTGTATGTGTGTATGGTCTCAGGTCCTGTACTGAGCAGTGTGCTCAGCAGTTAAGACACTTGTAGATAGAGGTCACATTGCTGTGCTTGGTTTGTATACTGTGGGCACAACAGAATCGATCAATTCTTTTTGGTCGTCATGTACACATACAGGAAGTGTATGGAAATTACACTTGTACCCTTTTAAAAATATTTTTGACATTTTACACATTTATACTCTGAACATTGGGATAATATATTGTATTTTTTCATTGGTATACAACAAATAAGTGACAAATAATCCAAGTATGTTTTCAATTAGACATTTCTGTGTTGTTTTTATGTAATACTGCTCAGTACTAACAAGGATAAACTCTGACAGCAGCCATCTTCCTACTTCTGTTTATGTTCTCTGCACTGTAAAAGATAAAAGTTTTGAAAAAGGATTTCTTATGGGATGGTATGTCTCTTATTTTATATAAGGTTACTTCTTACTTGATTTACCTTAAACTTTTTTTTTTTAAGCTTTGTACCATTCTGCCTTTATTTTTGATAGACATTTTCAGAAGACACTTATGTTCAGTCTGGTTTTCTTTTTAGTTCATTATGTTTGTGTTTAGTGAAAGCATTTTCTTCCTTCAGATAATGTATTTTACCATTTTGGATTTTTGTAAATCAAAATTGAGTAAACTTTTTTCTTATACCTTGGAACTCTATGCAAATACTTGTAGCTTTTAATGACAGTTTCATCAGTAATTGAAATTTAATTTCTACTTACTCTTCTATACAGTTATTTAGATGTGAAAAGTAGCATAATCTCTGACAGTTCTCTGTCAAAGCCCCTCTCCTGTACTGTCTTTACATGTAGGGTTTGTTTTGTATTAATGTTATTTCTAACGATGACTTCATTTCTCCCATTTGCTATATGAGAATGAGAATTCTTAGTTTTGAAACTATGTTAATTTCCAGGTACCATATAATGATTTTTCAGAGAAATTCAAACATCTGTATGATTCAGAGCTGTGAGAAAAATGAGATAGAATCAGTTACTATTGTGAACTTTTGCCCAGCGGTAATCAGGATAGGATACTTTGCTTTTTGTAGGAAAGAAAAGCCTTTCTTTACTGTTTGGCTCATTCCAAAAGCTGTCCTTTTATAATAGTATTTATCAGGATACTGGCCCTGTGACAGAAGTAGTCTTTTAGTATGGCTGAAGCCTATAGTTGAAATATTTCTGCTACTTTACTATTATAGGGAAATATCATAGGTCTTAAAAATAAGTGAATTTTTTGTTTTGTTTTACCAATTGTAAAGTATCTTCCTTGATGTGTTAAGGATTGCTGTAATAGAATCACAAACATCAATTGATGTTTCCTTGGGTGGTGGTTTTTCTGCAGTCCCTATATACGAGTGGCAGTTATGCCTTCACTCGGCTAAAGCTAGATAAATTTTCCTGTACCTCGCAACCTCAGAGATGAATCTTCTGCTCTTTGGAGCAGTATGAGAGGCTAGGGAGTAGAGAAAGGCAAATAGAAGAGACAAATACATCATCTGGTCTGGCCTCTGATTTTTTTTCTTGGCCCACATTCTCAAAAACATCAGTGTGTCTGACTGCACATGCTTAGCTTTAAAATCTTCTATCTTGTCTCCCTGGGATTTTCCTGTTACAGGAGCAAGAAGAGTAACTCGCTCTTTCTTGCACTCTGGCAGCCTAGCCTGACCGGTGGTCTTCCTGGAGGGATTCAGATGTTGGAGGCCACGGGTTCCCTTACCAGCTCTCCAGCTCCACTTCTCCTTTTCTCTTTTCATTTCCCTATAATTCCTGCATTAGCATCTTTTGGGAGAAATGGGTACATGTCTATTTGCATTTTTTAGTTTCTTAAGCTTTTTAGGAAAACTCATCTTTAATGCAATTCATAGTAATTGTTGTGATTATTTTTGTGATTTTTTTTCTGAAGAGCTCCAAATTACTGTATTTTATGTTTTATATATTTAATCCAAATCATTTAATTTGTAGGCTTATCCACTTTTTAATAAGTGTTGAAAAAAAACCAGGAAAAGTCAGCCTCAGGTTATTGCTCTATTTTCCAAGCTTCTTTTAATTGTTGTTTTTTTGTGTGTGTTTTTGTTTGGACCCAGAGCTTCATGCATACTCGACAAGTGCTCTGCCACTGAGGCACATCCTATTCCCTGTTAAATTTTTCAGTCCAGTCTAACCCTGGACTTAAGCTTTTCCTCAGAGACTGAAGCTATAAAAGCTTTAGGTGGTACTGGTAGTTTTCCAATTCTCTTGTCATTTTTGCCTCCATATTGTTCCTTAGTCTCTCTGGGATTAATGAGGTAGAAAATTGAGATTACATAAGACAAAAAGTACTATGATACAGTAATTATATAAAAGTACGCATACAGTTGTACAATTTATGTTCAGAAATATGCAAATAAACAGTTAACTCAGGGTCTAAATTAACGTGCTGTTGAATTTACTCTGTCCCATGGCTAAATAAAATTCTCAACATGACTTTGTGATTTGTAAAGCCAAATTGATAATATTTTTATTTTAAAAGTTGTTGGGTTAAGTATAAATTATTTAAAAATGTGGATTTTTTACTCCCAGGATACAATATTCATTTTCTGACATTATGCAGAATGATGTATGAGTAAAATCAATTTTGTAAGTATGTAAATATGTCATAAATAAATAATACTTTGACTTATTTCTCAAAGGCATATAGTGATTTTTAATTGCTCATTTATGTTAATAGAATATTAGAAGGAATATCTGCCATACTGAAGTGTATGGGATGGTTGGTGAATGGAAGCCCTAAGCCTGGCCTATTAAGCTTTCGCAGTATGGGAGGTTGAACTCTTGGGTTTTCCATGAGACATGACAGTCTCTGCTGGATTCTTCGTGGGATTTCCAAGAGTGATTTTGATTTACATATTGTTAGGATTTTATATGTGTGTTCCTGACAACCCTACTTTCTGTGAAATTGTGTGTTAGAAGTAACAAGTTATGGGAAAAGAGTTCCATATATATCAATCAAAATCTTTATAATTTTGAATAAGAGCACTCACATAATGATAACCTCAACAAAAGCTGTGAAATTTGAGAAAAAGGATACATTCCTATTAAATACAGTGGACACCTTTGCCTTAATGAAAAGGAATGGGATGGTAGCTCGATGGAAAGGAAAGCAGTGACAAAGGGCTGATATGCTTAGTTACAGTAAGAAGACAAAGTACTGAAGGACCACGGAGAACTGGGCAGTGAGCGCTTCCAGGTCCAAGCAGGGGCTAGCTGAAGCTCAGAAGTAGAGCAAGCGTGGACACAGCAAGCAGTGAGTAGTCCGCAGGGCTGCCTGAAGTCATCTGTGATTTTGTGTTTAGGTGCTGTTACTTGGTTGCATGAACCTATGACTTCCTGTGAATTACCACTCGTCAATTTTTTAAAAATGTTTAAAAGAATTTTTAATTTATTTTTTTCAGTTGTTTAAATATAATATGTGGAATGCAGTGAATATTCCTTATTCAAGTCATGACTTTAAAATATTTTCATTAGTACATGTTTGCAGTACATACTGATTATACAAAGTAGTGGTGTATATGCCTAACACATCTTAAATCTACTTACATTCCCTTTCCCTTTCCCTCCCCTCTCCTAACCCTGCACGTAAACGGAAGAGAGGTTTATTTTTTTTTAAAGAGAGAAGCCATTTTACTGAGCTGTTAATAAAAGAAACTATACACATTCTTCATAAGTTATTCTCAGAATATGGCCCTTGCTATTATATGAAATACTGCCTTGTAATAATATTCATATGAATGTACATTTTGCCTGTATTAAATGGAAAAAAGTTCTCTTGCATACTGTATTGCTAAAATAGAGTGGTAGTCTCACACTTGTTTTTTTTCCTTCCAGGAAGAATTCTTTACCCGTTACCCTCCAGGGCATGTCACAATATGCACACAATTTCAGAGATACTAAGATCATACTTAATTTTGTTTGAAAGTAACTGTCTCAGTTATTTTTCTGCCAAGATAAGATACCCGTCATCCCAAGTTAAAAAGGGAAAGGCTTCGTTAGCTCAGTTTGTAGAGATTTCAGTAGCTGGCAATCTCCACGGAAGAGCAGCACATGGCAGGGAGGCATTGTGCAGGAAAACAGGTCTTGGTGTCCAACAGGTAGCAAAAGCAAGAGGATGACAAGGCTCTATCACTTAGATTGTACTGAGGATGCAGGGAGAGAAGTTGATTTTGGATCATGGTATTCAGAGGATGCAGTCCACAGTGGATTGGCTTTAAGACAGAGCGTGGTAGAGCAGGATGGCAGAGGAAAGCTGCTTAGCATGTAGCAGTCAGGAAGTTGAAGGAGCTGGGGCAAGAGTTCACCCATCTTTGCCGCAGGACACCACCCACCTCATAACGGCATGTTCAGCTGTGAATTCACCTGTGGATTAATGTGCTAATGAATTCAACACCCCACTGTCTAATCATCTTCCTAAAGCTCCCCTTCTGAATACATGAGACTTTAGGGGAACATTTTGGATCTAAACCATAAGAATTATATGTTGTGTGGTGGGAAGTAATAAATGCTCTAAAAACGAGTTGAGCACAGTAAGGGTGTATAAGAGTGCCCAAGAGTGGAGGCCATGATATGATAGCTAGGGAAAGTGTTGGGTAGAGACCTAGAGTGAAGACCAGAGGTAGAAACA